AAAGAACAACAAGAAAAAAACTGGGAGAAAAATGAGGCAACTCATTTTCTTTTGCTTGCCAAGTTGCTGGGGCGTTGATCACGTTGAGGCAAACGCACAAAAGTGATTTAGACAGCTGGGCGGCTCACTCATCAGTTAGGCTGCGAGCGGGCGGCGCGGGGCTGGGCGTGGGAATGGGGGCTGGCTGCCAGTGCGGCAGTCAGTCAGTGTCAGAGGCAACGTTGGGTGGCAACGCGTTGGCGTTCTTGTTTACTTGAAATTAATTGATGTGGCAACATGATTTAGTACTCGCAGGTAAATAAGGCGTTCATAAATGTTAAAGGATTATTAGCTGACAGCACACGTGGCGTATGCGTAATTTCACGTTGTTGTCAACAGAACGCACCCGCCAACCACCCACCACCTTTCCCTCGTACCTTTAATCCATTGCGTTAAAGAGCCAACCAACCCAACCCCCAGAACCCCTAGCCACCCAAAACCCAAACCCCCAGCAGAAAAACCAAACGCATTAGCAGTCAGGCAAGTTGAATTTTTGATGAATTGTTTGTCTTAAAAATTTACAAAAGGGCGTAATTAATTAGCCAAAAAATAACAGCGCCGCTCTCTTCCTCTTCCTCATGCTCTTTCGCTTCCCTGTTGTAATTGTTGCTGTTGCTTATTTAAATTACGAGTTCACGAGGGCTGTTTGATCAGTCGACAGCTAATTAGGCAGCACTCGAGACAGCCCTTGAATAAGCACTTGTTGCTGGCACAAACGCCCGAAGTTCAATGACATCAAACATAATGTAGGAAATTACATTGAGAGAGAGAGGGAGAGTGTGAAAGAGAGAGAGAGAGAGGGAGCAGAGTCACCGCGAGAGAAACATATCTAAGACCAGACTGAGAGAGAGGGAGAGAGAGAGAGCAACTGAGCGAAAGCATTTGCTTTTGCCTTTGATGCTTAACGCAGAGATTAAAAGTGTGAGAAGGCAAGAATAGCTGAATATTTGAAATTCCTCATGGATTAGATTAGATTATTAATATAATTAATTAGCAAATTAAGAGCAGATATTTCTAAAAATAAACTGGAACTTGATATTAGTAGTATGTACATATATTATTATTGATATAATCTGAAGTGCTTGTAGAGTAAGTTATTATCTATGGAACAAGTACTTGAGGCACAAGCATAGCTAATTTGTCTGTTATTAGCAACGTATATAAGTGTTTTTACGTTATATTTATATCTGAGGAAAAATTACTTGAAATCTTTGAAATACTATTATTAGAAATACGTAATCGTATAGATTAGCAACCAATTTGTATGCTTTCCTTTCTGGGAACGTAACTTATTGTTTTCATAATTATGTTCCATAAGCTAAAGTCGTTCATCAGCTAAGAGGGTCCATTTTTACATACATATGTTTAGCAGAGTTGTAATCATGTTAAGTGCAAGTGTCCCAATTATATTATGTTTTAATTTACGAGATATTTACAAATAATATAGATTCAAATATTAAAAATTGTCGAAATGCAAAGAGCATTTAATAATGTTGTCAAATAATGTAACTGATTTTATTTCTTTGCTGCTAGCAACAGCCAAAAATATGCACGATATAAAAAATCGTTGCATACCCCAAGGGGCTGTCAGTACATTAACAGTGCTCTTTGGCAAGGGCGAAAATCAATTTGTAATTATGTTAACTACTGATGTTATTTTAAAATAACTATGTAATGACTTTGTACAACGAAGTCAACGATGACAAATAATATTCATATATACGGGCTGGAGGATAGACAGACGAACAGGGCCAAATCGTCTCATATGATTTATTTGCCAGCAACGCCTCTTTCATTTTAACAAATTTAATATTATTCTTGGTATAAAATCTGCTTTACACAATAGCTGAGCTCTCATTACAGTTTGTAAACATGTTTAAATACACTTCTATTTTAAGGATACGTAAACATACTTATATATGTAATGCATCTTTAAGCATTAGCTGCAATTGAAAAGAAATATAAGTTTGTCGCTTGAAGAAAAACCAGAATGTCAGCAGACGTCAACAGCAGCAGCAGCAGCAGGAGGAGGAGCAGCAGCAGCAGGAGGAGGAGCAGCAGCAGCAGGAGTAGCAGCAGCGGAGGCTGCATCGTAAAGGCATTTAATTTATGGCTCGAAGCAATGCGTCAGTCTAGTTGCAAGTGGCAAGGAGGAGAAGCAGAAGTGGCATTTGAATTGCTGTTGCAACATGTGTATGGCCCACAGGCAAACACACAAAAAAAAAAAGGAGAAAAGAAAAGGACGGGCAACAGACTATATATGCCGCTAAATCCGGCTCAGAAACTCATTATGAGCGCGATCAGCAGCCGAGCGAAGGCGCTTGTCAAATTGCTTGAATTAAAGCGCAGCTGCAGCAGCAGCAGGAGCAGCAGGATCAGCAGTAGTAGCAGGAGAAGAGCTGCAGCTGGAGCTGGCAACATTTCGCGGCCTGTTAAATTGAAGCATAATTCCGCGGCAGCTGCAGAAGCAGCAGCAGCAATGAAATATGAGGCAACGCATGTGGCAAGCATATGAAAAGCGACTGGATTTTCCAGATAAGCGACGCAAGGCTTCGGATGATGAGGAAACGCGAGGCGGTTTACTGCTGCTGTTGTAGCTGCTACTGCTGCTGCTCCTGCTGCTGCTGTTGGCAAATGTTGTATTTATGCAAAAAGCGGAATGAAAAATATTTTCACAGCCTTGACTTGCAACTGCGCCACATCGAGACGACGCCGTCGACGAGAGCGACAACAACTCAACTCGAGTTCAGCTCAAGAGCTCCAGTTGTAAAATGAAAACGGTCGAGCTCAACAAAAGTGGAGGAAAAAATAAAAAAACATGCAATACATCAAAAAAAAAAAAGTAAAGGTTGCTGTGAAGGGGACGAGAGTGGGCTGTGGAGTCGCCGTTGTAGCTTGACAACGTCGCTGTCTGACTGTGTGATAAGAGACATGGGTCAAAGGGTCAGCCCGAGAGCCAGAGAGCCAGACAACCAGATAGATGAGGCATTCCAGCAAACTCCGAGTAAGTCCAACAGATGTGGAGCGAAAGTAAAAATTGAATGGGATTACAGGGTATATTTGGCTGATCTATGATTTTGATATACAGAAAAACAAAGAACAGGCAACAATGCTCTAAGATTAAATTATAAATATATACATGTTCGATAATATCTGAATATGCTTTGCTATACATTCAAAAAGTTAGAGGGAAACAACTTTATTTTATATACATATATTCTACAAATTCGACCTTCAGCTGCTCTTTTAATATATGAATATACAATCTTGAGAATCTGCCTGAACTATTTATTAAGTCTTGCGCTTCATTACAAGAGAGATTTGACACACTAGAGCAAATACATACACACATAGCAACTTTCTGGGGTTATAAAATATATGCCTAATCTATGTATTGAGTTCCACTAAATATGAAGAATTCTCTTTGATAAAAAGGCAAAAATAATAAAAAATCTTTTTTACTAAAGGGTATATTCGTGATCTCTTGAACAGCTCTCTATCAATATGTGAATATATACAGGAGTACATGGCACAGGCAACTCTCTGGAGCGTTGATATATCTATGCAAAAGTTGCTCTCTTGCATATCTCTAGATTTTAGGAGTATATTCCTGATCTACGCATGGATCAGACTCTAGCAACATCTCTTTATATACATATGTATATGTATTTATAAGCCCGCATATTTGTTCTACTACGCATTGATCTATGATCTGTTATCTCTTGCAATATTAGTGAACATAGTTTTGATATGCAGGAAAACAAAAAAATAGCCAACTCTAGATATATAAAGTATATGCTTGATCTGTATAGCAAGCAGTTTTTTGCAGTGTCTATATATATATGTTTGTTCTACTCACATTTAACGCGCAGCGGCAACTGATTGCTGACCGTTTCGCCTTCGTCGTTGATGGCGCTGCACGCATAATTTCCCGCATAGTGTTTCGTTATCTTCTGCAGCACCAGGCTCTGATTGGAGCGTATGACGCGAGCGGAGGTATTGTGTTCCAAGTGAATGCCCTGTACGGAGTGGTAAACGATATTTATTGTTCAAGCTAAAATATTATTATTGTTATTATGATACCGCTGTGCAGGCCTGAGAAATGTTTAAGCAAAGGAATATGAAATGTTGTAGAAAGCAAAAATAAACAAAAGAGAGTGAAAGGCTGCGCTCTTATAAGAATTTGGGGCACTTTTCAGCCATATTTCATCCGTTTCCTTCCACAAACAAAGTCTTCTTTTTGTTAGCGAAAGTTTTCTGTCAGTTTCCGTCAGCATTTCCCAAACATCTATTTTCAATTAATAGACCTGCTTCATCCTGCTGTCATATTTTCGGCAAACGTTTGCAATTTCAATTTGCCTGAGATGTGCAAAGCAATCGAGTCGAGCTTGTTAGGCCATTCAGAGTCCATTCAGAGAGGAGAACGCTACTGATAAACCGATTCAATTCGAAAGGCCAACAACTATGGCTGACTTCCATGTCAGCTCGGGCCATACGTATGCTCTTTGCTGATTGATTGAGAGGAAGGAACGAAGGCGGCGACTGCAAGTGAGCGACTGCAGCCAAAGCGCTGCTTAAATCAATGCCGCAAATCCCAAAACTATTTTGGGAAATGGAATGGCATATGGCGGCGTCACTCTCAACTCCCTAGCCTAGCCCCCTTGGCCCCTTGGCCACGACGCGTCGTCAGCCTTGGTGTGAAATGAATTGAAATGAGCAAATGCAGCAGGGAACAGCAACAGCAATAGCAACAACAGCAGGAGCAGGAGCAGCAGGAGTAGCAGCCATATGCAACTAGCCAATGCTATTGACACTTAAACAGAAAATGAATGGAAAGCAACCAAGCAGACAGCCGGGGTCAGAGCATCGAGCAACGAGCGCAGACTCGAGCACGACCTGAAGCTCAGTTCCTGTTGCCATCGTGTATGAGAGTGTACGTGTGTGTGCGTGAGTGTGTGTGTGCTTGGCGGTATTTGGGGTTCGCCATGAGGTTTCATTTCCAGCTGGCTTCACGCGACTTACATTATGTAACCACAACAGTTTCCGCCATTGAGGATTCGATTGTACGTGACACTCGAAGTAAACATCGTCGCCTTCCTTGATATCATCCGGTGTCAGCGTGGAGCCCAAACGCAGCGTCACCAACGGAGGATCTGCAAACAATTATAGACAGGTATTAGGCGAGAGCTATAAATTGAGAAATGATTAATTGCACATTATAAACAAAGGCTTGTCGGAGAGGGGATGCGTATGGGTATATTCAATTAGTAATTCTTTTAATTAATATACACTTATTAAGTATACGTATTACATATGTATATTTATATATATGTGGTTTATCGTCAATGTAATTTAAGTTAAGAACAGGCTCTTCCCTTCTTTATCTCTCTCGGCTCTTCCTCTCTAACCCTCAATTACGCAATACAGTGCCTACTATATGTTTCGGCTCGTCTTGCTCTGCAATTGGCCTCCATCAGCTGCACAAAGAGTCGCGTTTATATTTTTAAGTAATTATTTATAATTATAATTTGTTTTATAAAATATTCAAGGCAAATAAAATTCAATAAAAAATTAAATAAAAAAATAACAATTTTTTTTCATTTAAGTAATTTAGTATATATATACTTAAACCCAACTCTCCTTGATTTATCTTCAATGTATTTTAAAATAAGAACAGCGTCTTGCTCTCTCACTCTCTTCAACTGCCTAAGACATTGCCTACTATATATACGCCCTGGCTCTACAATTGGCCGCCATCAGCTGCGCAATAAGTCGAGTGATCTATTTGATTTAATAGTGCTTGGCAAATATGAGAGCGATTTGCTGCAACGACAGCAACATCAGCATCAGCGTCAGCATCAGCAACAGCATCAACATCAACAAAGAGTTATGGCAACAACACAGGCTAATGGCAACTGGGGACAAGTAACAGGGATCGGTGCGCCTGGCCTGTGGCGCTGCTTGCGAACATGTGTTGCCGCTTAAGTCGTTTGAATTTGCTTAACGAGCCACAAACTTTGCGACAAACACAGCAAAGCACGGAACGGTGCGGTACGGCACGGCAGGGCAGGGCATAGCATAGTGTAGAGGACCTTAGAAAGGCTGCGGCCAGCATGTTGAACGTTGAAACGTTCAACGTTCAACGTTCAACGGTTTAAAGGAAGGACGTGCCACGTGCCAACCTTAATATTGTTGAGTTATTGGCGGCCAAAGCCAAACGGCGCCAGTCAAGAGTTAGACGACGACGACGACGATGGCGACGATGGGGCCAAAAGTTTGCTCACTTTTGAATGGCCTCGCAAAGTTTACTTAACACCCGCCTCTAGTCGCCTACTCGGCTATCCCCTGTCACCCCGTTTCCACCCCTCGCTGTACGCAAAGGTCTGAGCTCTGAGCAGTCGCCTCGCCAATCAGCAAAAGTGCTCGAAAGGGACCCGCTGCAAAAACTCTTTCGTCGAAAGTCGCGACGCCGTATTTCCGCACACATGTTGCAGGCCATTTTTGTGATTATCATTTACCGTTAGCTGCCAGCAAACTGCAAAAATGAAACCAGAAAACTCCCCACCTCTCCCTCTCTCTCTCTCTGCCTTCTTTTTGGTTACAGCCTATCGATCGAGCCTCCAGCAATTTATGTGCAAATGAAAGTTGCCTTATTATATCACATGAAATGATATATATGCGCTACGATTTGGCCGTTTTAAAGCTAAGCTCTGGTGTTTTTAAAGCCAAAAGTTAGTGGCAAACTGATTGGAACTAAGAGTTTAAGGCAAATGAATGCTATGAGCAAAAGGACATGTGAACAGGGCGTAAAGCAGAGTGATAAAGAAATATTACAGCTGCAGCCAAAATCAGTGTCTCAATATCTAGGAAAATTCGTGGTGCTGTACATTTCATAAACATGTGGGAAATATTTTGAGTTTAGCATAGGGATATATAGGTATAGGTATAGATATGTATATAGGTATAGGTACACATATTTTAAATTTAATATTTATTATTTAGAGCTCATCAATTAATATTATTTTACTTGCATACATATTCCCAGAAAGAAAGTTTTTCTTTATCGCACTCTTAAGCTCACACATAAATATCTTATAAAGATATGACCAGCCTTTTTATATATGTGAATGCATATATACAGTGATATTTATATATACATATGTATATATGCGCATATATCATATCTAGAGAGCATAAGCTGGCACTTCTATTGCTCTGCTCTGGCGTGCGTCCACTTTAAAAATATCAACTCAAATTGCAGCATTGAGAAAAATATCGCGATGCTTTCGCTTCTCCGAAATGCGAGGCACGCACACAGCACAAGCGCCAATGTATCCCAGCCATAAACAACGGCCGTGGGACATGCACACATACACACATACACATACACATAAATATATTGTCTGCGTAGTGCGCTCATGGGAATCTCTATGTCTGTGATTGCATTGCATGTTTTGTTGTCCTGCTGCCTTGTTTGCTGGGGCCACATTATAAATTTTAAAACGAGCGTGTCACATACGCACACACACACACACACACACACACACACACACACACACACACACACAC